GCCGTCGACGCCAGTTACACCAATCCCTACGTCACCGACGTGGTTGTGATTGCCCCTGGCCAGACTGTCGACGTTTTGTTACGCGCCGACCAGCCGGTGGGATCTTACTACATGGCAGCTACACCATACGCTAGTGCAGCCGGAGCGTCGTTCGACAACACCACGACGAGGGGCATAATCGTCTACGACGGCGCCGCTTCCACCGCAACCCCCCAAATGCTGGCCCTCCCTGCCTTCAACGACACCCCCACGGCCCACAAGTTCTACACTAACATAACTGGATTGGTAGGTGGGCCTAACTGGGTCCCTGTCCCAACCAAGGTGGACAAGCGTATGTTCGTAACCATGGGATTGGCCTTGGAAGCCTGCCCAGAAAACACCACGTGTCAATTCATCAACGACACTAAATTCTCTGCGAGCATGAACAATGCCTCCTTCGAGTTCCCCACCACCCTGTCTATGCTTCAGGCGTTCTTTTTCAATGTTTCCGGTATTTACACCACCGATTTCCCGAGCAGACCACCGCTCAAGTTCGACTACACAAACTCTAACATCAGCCTCGACGCTTCCTTGTTGTTCGCGCCAAAATCAACCAAGGTCACGAAGCTCCAGTACAATACCACGGTGGAGTTGATCTTCCAGGACACCTCCCTTATCGGCGTCGAGAACCATCCCATGCACATCCACGGCTTTAACTTCCACGTCCTGGCTCAAGGATTTGGAAACTATGACCCTTCCAAACATCAGAAGTTGTTCAATCTCGTCAACCCACAGATAAGGAACACCATCGCCGTGCCGGTCGGAGGATGGGCCGTCATCAGATTTACAGCAAATAATCCAGGTAAATTAACTTTCTTTTACTTTGAATTTTCTCGGGTTGTGTTGTTGGTACCTAACGCATTATACTTGAACATGTGGACAAGTTCTACGAGTTGTGTAGTACTTTCCGTTGGGAGTTTGGTTTACCTCTTTTGGATTCAAATCGTAGGCGCTGTTGCTTTTTTTTTTTTTTTTTGGTACATAACAGGCACCATAATAGTTTACTTTTTTATTAATTAAATGTGCTCGTGATAGTGATAGTTTTCCTTTTCCTTCTCTATTACATGGAAATTGAAATAAAAATTTTGGTTTATGCTAATCTCAATTGTACAGGGGTTTGGCTCACGCACTGTCACCTAGACGCGCACATTTCTGTGGGACTGGCCACCGCTTTCGTGGTGGAGAATGGGCCAACGCCGTCGACGACCTTGCCTCCACCACCTGCTGATCTACCACAATGTTAGACTTAACTTCATTGTCTACTGCATGACAATAGTTAATGAATCTCCTCAGATGATATATGGTACTTTCATATACTATTTATTCAGTCTGTAAAAGCTTGCCATTTCACATCCATTGATTCGTTGAATTGAAATAATAAATTGTTTGTGTATTCCATTTAATCATATTGTAAAAGAATAAAAGTTCATATCCATTTTATGGTAATAAAATATTTCTTTTGACAAGTTCAATTTTCACATTTTTTTTTTTTAATTTGCTCTTTGATTGTTTAGTCTACGAATTTATAATTTATAATGGTTATATGATTTCAAATGAATAAATATATGTCATTTTTTTTTATAGTCACATGCATTCATAGTAATGATACAATGCATTTGAGTTTTTTTGGGGTAGCCGAAGCACATAATTAGACTTGCAATTTTTTGCAATTTTGTTTTTCTCCTCTTTTGTTTTTTTCTTTTTGAGAACATTCAAAAAATTTTGGGCTTTGTAAAAGTTAAATACTAATTGTTTTTTTTTTTTATCAGCAAAAATAATTTATTATATAAGTACAAGAGATACCTCAAACTCATTACATCTGCTAATTGTAACTCTTGGAATTTAAATTTTGTACCTTTTTTTCAACCTAAACTAATTTAAGCCTTTTTTTTTTTTCCCTTAATATAGATTTTTTCATTTTTATGATTAGTTCAAAGATCAAATTATTACAAGGACCAAAAAAGGGTACGATTTAAAGTTTAGGACTAAAATTAGCATTTAACGTAAGAAAAAGTGTATGCTCTTTTTTAGGTTTTGGTAACACCATAATTACCGGCAATCGTGGCCCATCTGACGCCCAACTAGCCCATGTTAATGAGCCTGGGCCCTGATCTTCCACATGCATACAATTACCAAAGCCCATA